GTTTGATAACGTGCTCTTTTAAATGGTTCAAAAACAGTGTCCACGTTTTTTGGCTTTCATTAGCACAAATAGCAAAAGCTAAGGGAAATATACTTCCATCAGCATCTACTGCAACGACGATCAACAACTTAATATCATACTTTCCATAGACATGAGTGACGTCCATTGATATTACCTGCTGACAATGCAGAAAACCATCAATTACTGGTTTAAATGCCTAGAACACATATTTGAATATATGTTCTGGTATTTCCGGACTCCGCTTAAGCTTCCATTCAACAACAGTCTCGGGGTTAAAGTATTGTAATGCAGCCATGTACCTAGGTAAAGATGCAAATGACTTATCCCAGTTACTATAAACAATTTCAAACGCATGTTTGCGCCCGAGAAATGTCTTTCTTTTGGTAATGGTGCACCCATATTCCTGGTGGACGGATGTTATACACTTTTTGATCTTGTACCTTATGGACACTTCAATGTGTGGAATCAAGACAAGAGAAATCAAATCAGTATTCAAGTTAAAATAATTCCCACTGAATGTGTCCATGTCACAATTGTGGGTGCCAATGTATTTACCCACAACCCACATAATTGTTTTCTTCTTCCTCACACGTAGCATCCAATTACAACCCGTAAACCATCTACGACAGACTACCTTGAATACATCTGGAGATGACTCAAGTACCGTGATCTCACGACACTCTTTTGCGTTGTACATTAGCACCGCCCTGGTTAGGCGCGCTTTATTCGGAAAAAGAATGCCCTTTGACAACACCGTTGCTCTAGATTCATCCCACATTGCTGTCCGAATTTCGTCAATATCCCTTGTGAGGGCATCCACATCAGGCATACTTGGCAAATGATCAAGGTAGGGAATCTCCCTTGAATGAAACGACACGCGGGACTCGTACACTCTTGGTCTAACGGGGGATGGAGCATGCTCCCTCGTCAAATCAAGTCCAGCTTCTCTTCCTCCTCCTCATCACCCTCATCAGGGAAGGGTGTGTCATCTCTAGACTCATCGACATTGTTGTCATAATCATTATTCTCTTCCTGACTCTGTGCATATGCCGGATACCGATTAAATATGTCATCTTCGGGGCAATTGAGTAAGGACATGACCTTCAGGATACTCGTTTTCACTACACAAACAACAAAATAATGAGTTACCCAAATTGATAAATACTTTACATATAGCTATATCACTTCACTTACAAATCGTAATATGTTGACATCCCATGATGGACATTATCATATTGGTGATGACTCCCGGATGGACCACCATGATCCAACATACCAGAATTAGACATATTCCAATTGGGCGTTGGTTCATAACTTGTAAAATTTATTGCTGGCCGGTACCCCCTGTGGCATATATGAGTGTTAATACAAATTCAATACAGCAAAAATAAACATCGTAACACAAAGAAAAATTGAAGTTTACCACTCATCTTGTGAATTATGTAAACTAGGAGAGAAATTATTTCTTCGTTCCTCATTCGTCCGTGGAGATAAGTTTAGATCAGGCCAAACTCTTTCAGCCGGAACCTGTTCGGCTAAAACTGCTCCAAAATAACCACAACCCCCTCCTCCACAATATAATGAAACCCTTACTTTTCGCTCTTCAGACATTATGACAAAATGCAAAATAACTTAACGAAGAAATATTTCAGAAGACTTGAGAATATTTATGAATGGATTTTAAAATTTTTTTTAACCTCCTTAAATAGGGCAAAAAACCAGTCCGGGGTACAGTGCCTTAAATAAGGGCACCATACCCAGTTGAATTATTGTTATGCCAGTTAAACCCAGAAGAATTATTTGTGAGCCCACAAAAATATGTATAGCGCCTTAATAAACGACGCTATACTTGCTCGTCTTTTCAAATTCAAGTATAAGCCCTTTAAAGGGCGTTATACATATTTTGGTTACCATTTTTTTTTCCACACATTTCGATCGTTTGAGTCCAAAAGAACCATATTTTGGTTCCGGACTCGTTGGAATTGCAACTGGTTCAGTTATGGGGGCCATGGTTAGGTCCTAAACTGGCAAAAAATTCTTGGCCATGGTTCCTGGAGAAGTTCTCTTAGCTTCACTTATGCTCGCGTAGGCTTATTCCGCATTTATTTCGGTATTTATTTTAAACTATGTTTCAAATTATCATTGTTATCATTGTTAAAACTGGCTTAATCGTTGTTAGTAATTAGCTTAGACTAGGTGCCACCACGATACTTGCAGTGGGTTTCTGGATCGTGACATTAGTGAAATATCTTTTTAACCCTTTAAAATATAGAGTTCACGTTGGACAACATAGTAATCTGAGTGTTTCATTAATATTTAGAAATAGTCATTTAATTAATTTTATTAATATTTAAAAATAGTCGTTTAATTAATTTTTCTAAGAATAGTTATTTAATTATTCTCCATACTTTTGCCTAATTCTTGGTTCAACTCCCGACATTTGGCTAATTCTCTCACACGTTCTTTTTTTTTTTGTTGCCTTTTTGTTAGGATTCTTTATTATTTGGTAAAATTGAAGGACTAATTTTCCATAAAAAAATATATTTGGTGAAAGACGAGCTGTTTTGACTTCTTTTTGTTAAGTATTTTTATTATTTGGTAAATTCTTCTTTGTCTATTTGAACTATACACAAATTTATTTTATATAAATCCTTTCCAGTTTTATACACCCAAATACTTCTATAAAAGAAGCTATAATTTCACAATTTAATCGTCAAACTTCGTATGTTCTAGCAGCACCGTTCCGGGTTCTTTTTCTCTAAGCAAAAACTATTCGTATTAGCTGTTTTATTTTGTATGCACGTATTTGTATTAGTACTTAAATTTTGCATTCACGTATATTGTTAGAACCTTGATTATAATATCAAAACAATTTATATTATACCTCGTGTTTAATTTATTTGCCATGTTTGTAGGCATATGTTTCAAGATTAATGCATTATAACTAGGGGTGTTCATGGTTCGGTTTGGGTCGGTTTTTTCCTAAAAAAAAACCAAACCAAGTACGTCGTTTTTTCAAATATTGGAACCAAACCAAACCAATTAAGTCAGTTTTTTATCGATTCGATTTTTGTCGGATTTTGCCGGTTTTTCGGTTATTTATCGATTTTTTTCTTGAATATGAGACATACACTACCAAACGCATATTCCGACTAGGGGTGTCAATGGATATTTAAAAACCGACTAAACCGACCGAACCGTACCACACCGATTTTTAGGTTCTTTTAAAAAAACCGTAGGTTTTATATAAATCTATAACCATACCTATAATTAGGGTAGGTTTTTATTTTACAAAAATAAACCGAAAAAATACCGAACCGTACCGAATAAATTTTACATGTGAAAAATATATTTATATAGTAAGTTTAAAAATAATAAAGCATTAAATTTTTCTTTGGACCTTGAAATTATGAAAACAGTTATAAGTCAACGAGTAATTTAGCTCAAAATATTAATTCATAAAACATGTATGCTACTTCTACTTAAACTAAGTTATTTTCAGCATCTTCATTAGCAAGACACAAAGTATTTTAGTGATTATGAGTAGCAAACTATAATGTATTGAATATGTTTCCTTTCATATAATCTAGATTTATCTTTTTTAATATTTAATCTTCTATAGACTTTGTTCTTGAGTCTCATCTTAGTTAATATCCTTCCACTCATGTGATTTATATTTTCTTTGTCTTTACTTGATTTCTTTTACGTTGCTGTAGAATAGTCGATGGATCTATACTCTGGCCATCTTTTATATTTTTTTTTAATTCATCATCCTTTAAACAATAAAAATATCGAGATAGTTTTGCTTAAGTCCTATAAAAGAACTATGTTATTGTATTCTAGTTCTACTAGTGACTTTTATATGACATTTAAAAAAATACCGAAAATTAACCGAACCGTACCGATACCGAAGAGAAACCGATATGATTGGGACGGTTTCGAAAAGTCTAATTTTAGTTATACATAATAGAATAACCAAAAAAATTGATATGGTACAAATTTTATAAAATAACCGGCCGAACCAAATCATTGACACCCCTAATTCCGGCGATTATATTTTTAACATAACACTATCAAATTATTTGCTCTTTGAAAAATCTATCATTTACCAAGATATATTGATGATAACTGAATCAAATAGTGATAAATAATTTAAGTACTCAATTAAAAAATATTTTTAACATGAAATAAATTCTTGTACTTAGCAATAGAAAACTACCAATCAAACTAGAATGTAAAGACAAAGAATTAGATTATTAAATAGCAAAGAACTAGACTAAAAATATAAATGACTAATATGTACCATAAAATTTTAGAAACTTTATATAAAATAATACATATATATAGGTGTAATAATAAATTTAAATAGCTACTTTTATAGTCGATTTTATTTGGTTTTTTCGTTTATTTTTTGATTAAAACCAAAACCAAACCAAATTTGATCGGTTTTTAAAATTCAAAACCAAACCAAATCAAACCTAAAAAGTATCAATTTTTTTGGTCAGTTTGGTTCGATTTTTCGGAGTTTTTATGAACTAACCTAATTATAACTCATCATCTTGGAGTTCACGTACTTTCATTTTTGAGTTATATTAGAATGCTTCTTAGAATTTTTTATGAGTATGTTTAATTATAGTTTTGTAGATATAATAAAACGAACAATGGTACACTAGAGATTTTTTGGGTTTCTGCGAGTGTCCTAAATATTAGGAAACCAAAGTTGAAAAATACTACTCCTAGCTATGCCGATGGCCACACGCTAAAACTAAGACAAGATGCGATCTCTTTCGTGCTCTAACTCCAAAAGTTTTAATTTTAATTTATTTAATTACACTCTCAATTTATAACTCAAATACAATTTTTAATAATATTTATTCGATTTTAAAAATAATTTACTCATTAAAACTAAAGTACACTATTATTTTTTGGAAGGGTTATACTATGTAATTTTCCCTTGTATTACATAGGTGACCTAAAGCGACGCCGTCGCACGAAACCTGTTAACTTCACAGAAAAAGAAGACTAGGAGCAACCAGGTGGGAGGGGGACAAAGATGGCGGGTCAACTGAAAAACCCTAAAAAACAGTTTCAGCTAAACCCCAACTGGGCTCAGCTCCGTGAAGTATATTCCCTTCCTCACTCCATTTTTTCACTTTCTCTTCCTAACGATCTTTACTTTGTATTTCTGATATCTATTATGCACTCTATTTCTCATTCTGCAGCAATTAAAGAGTAATGGCTTCAAAAAGCCTTCAGAAGCATCAGAAACAGAAACCCCTAATTCCATATTAGGTATAAACCAGTTTCCTTTTTTTTTTTTTAAGGTCTAAGCATTTGAAGTTTTCTCTGTTATGTTGCTTACTTTGGTTTGTTGTCTATAGGAAAGCGGAAAAACAGGTCCAGTGATGACTCTGGCGATGCTCGGCCTAATCCTCTTATTCCAACTTCATCAGATTCAAGGTGAGTTTAGAAAAAAGTATGCCCTTTTTGTTGCTTCCTTGTACGGTGTTTTTTTTTGGGGGGTGGGGGACTGGGGAAGGAGAGGGGGCCACTAGATTCATTATTTGTTTGGATACCTTTCATAAAAGATTACATTTTTAGCATATTTTATTGTTAGAGTAAATTATGGCTATAAAAAGCTAAGCTTCACACTTTCCTGTTCTATTTAAACCTCCTACAATTCAAGTGTGATCGAGTAAAATCTTTAATGTTCTGCAATTTAATCATTAGCTGCATAACAGTGTTACAGATGTGATAGCAATGGATTGTGAAATGGTTGGTGTAAGCTCTAACAAAAGTGCTCTTGGGCGAGTCACACTGGTATTCCTCAATCGTACCTTCTCATCTACGTTAAATACTTCTTCACTACATTTAGCAAATGGTTTTACTAGCAACTGTTTTTGGTTGCTTGATGCTAAGAATAATCTTTTGGTTAAATAGTTATAAGCATAGGCTGCACTAACATTTTCATAAATAAGCCGTTTATGTCCAACTGATAAGTTCTCTTCTAGCTGATCCTTCCTCTATTGAGTCAAGGACGGAGCTGCCCTTGTCCAAGGGGGGTCAATTGACACCCCTTCGCAAAATTACACTGCATAGATAGGTCAAAAAATATATTTTTATGCATATATACTATATGTTGAACCTCTTCGACTTTTGTGTGTGTTTAATTCTTTCTTTTTTTGACTCCGCTCAATGAAAATCCTAACTTCACTGATATGCATATCATTCTTCTTATGGATATGTGAAGTTTTAGTACAAGAATTTTTGATGTTGCTATGTTAAAGCTTCTAATTGTTTCCGTACAAAACAAAACTGACATGTTTTAATTGTCAGGGGTACATTCCATTAGTTGTTCTCGGTACAATATTGTTGTTTACGAAATGCCTCGTTGCTTTTTAATTAGATTTATGCATGCACAGTTAAATGCAAACCAGCTTATGTCAGGTCAACAAATGGGGAAATGTGATATATGACGAATTTGTCCGTCCAGTTGAACGTGTTGTTGACTTCCGCACCAACATAAGTGGGATTAGACCTCAGCACTTAAAAAAAGGTTGGTTTCATTTCTCTCCGCACATTAGAAAGGTTACCAACAGAAGGAGAAGTTTCTAGTCTGGTGTCTTGGAAGAATTATGACTACAGAAAAGTCAATCCTTGCTAAAGAAGCAAAAGACTGAATTTTTTGTACTATTTGCATCTGCTTGACACCATTAACGATATCACTTCATCAAAAAAAAAAAAAGTAGAGACAGAAAATTGAAAACCTTTCTTCTGTTATTATAAATTAGTATGTTAAGTTACAGCCGTCTGAGAAGCAGTGTAGAATTACTTTTGTACGTTAAGTTGCAGCCATTCTAGAAGCATTGTAGAATTTTCTCAATTCTATTCATCTGATTTGATCCTTAAAATTTTCCCACGTGGAGTCAGAATGGAGATTTAGCTTCTTTTAAAAATGCAGATTCCCATCCCAATGCTCATAGATCATCACCATATTCTAGAGTTGAAGATCGTCTTGCTTGAAACTACTTTCAGAGCTGCAAACATCAGACAGCTCCCCGGTCTCCTCCTGAAACCTATAATATCCCCCTTTCCTTAACAACTGGATATTTGTACTAAGGTAGCATCACATTTAGTCGTTTACGAGCTCTTTTTTCTAATAATGTACTCTTATATGATTTCTGCCCTAGTACAATCACCTCATTATCCATAGTTTCCTGTAGTAGTGTTACTTTCGTGGGAAAATAATTTCAAACCACACAAATTTGACTCGAAAGGTTATTGTTAATATTGAGTTTTTTTCCCATTCTTAATACATTTAAGGACCGTTTGATTCCTGGGATTAGGATTCTAATTCCGGAATAAAATTTATGATTATGTTTATCCTTTATTTGGTTAAAGATTATGTCTATCCAGTATTTTGTTAATGATTATGTTTATCCAGTGTTTGGTTACCCTTATTAGCTAATACAAGTACCAATTTATACCAAAATCTTGGTATTATTTATCCCATTATGGACGTAGGATAATAATACCAGGATTAGCTTTACCTGGGTAAAGTTATCAAAATGACTATATTACCCTTCAGGAGCTCTTTTCATTGTCATCGTTGAACTATCTAAGGTTAAATTAAAATAAATTTATCCAGGTTTATCCAGCTTCAGACCCAACACATGTTTTGGATTGTACTCCAGATATTCCATTTCTAAATAATGAACCAAACAAAGCACTTACTAAATAATTCAGGGATAATCCTAATATTATAATAACTAGAAACCGTTGACAGTATTAGTCTCAAGGAAAATTTCTTGCGGATGTTTTCCTTGCCTTAGCTCAATTCAGTAACTCAAAAGGTCTTACGGTTACTTAAAAGAATCACTAAAGAAAACTAAACCATATGATGTAAAGATATTCGTGAAACTATGCCATTTCTCTTTTGATTAAAATAGAATAATGAATAACTTCACAATTCCGTTTAGAAACCCATCAACAAATTCAAGCATTCAAACAAGAACCAAATCCACAAATAACGATCAATACACCATGTCCGTCAAAAACCTAATAGGAAACTACTCCATAAATGAGGAGAAGCACATCGTAATTAAGAAATAAGAACTAAAAAACATTACAACTAACTTCTGAATTCAAATGCGCATTTTTAATTGATTGTTGATGAAAAATATATTTAATTCATGTGTCCTTGAGCTCTAGCCATCTTCTCAATCTTTAGTAGGTCAAAAGTTCCATTCAAAATTGTGTTTTCCATGTTTATACCGTGTAGAAACTACCTTGAACCAAAATACCTCTAATGAGCCGAAACTGACTTCATTGCCCGGGAGAATAGCCTGGCACGCCGCAAGGCACGAAGCATGGCGTGATGTGCTAGGAGGATAGTTTTTTATTTATTTATTTATTTTTGCATGTTTGGACTGATCAGGCTTGGCACCTCGCTAGGTGCAACGCGCCATGATAGGTCATTTCTAAGCTTTCAACATTTTTCTTCAATTTTTCTCATGCACACTTGGTTCTCGCCCCCCGAACTTGATCCCAGTTGAAATTCTTAGACTTTTACTCTGACTTCGAAGCTCCTTTAGCTCCAAATTAGTTCCTCTGCTCGGAATCAAGCCTACACAACCAAACACACATGATAAGTATATAGTACTCAGATTATAGGTCAAACACGATTAAAGCATAAGAAATAAAATGCGAAATGCACCCAAAAACATATGTTTCTAGCCAACCTTCATCTAGCATCTCGTTTATGGTAGGAAATTCTAAGATGGTTTTGACTACCATAGGTGATGCGAGACATTGAAGGAAGCACGTTTAGTTAGGCATGTGATGTTGCTCCACTGGTACTTATGTGAGTCTTATAGAGAGAAATAAGAGAGCTTTTGGAGGTGTAGAGAATAATTTTATAAATTTCAAAAATAACCTCTTATCCTTCTTTTTTGTGCCACTATGAAGTTCCTATATATACAAATCATATGTTTTATAGAATTTTGTACTTGTATACAAGTTTTTTTCTTTTTTAAATAATGGTGGTGTTTGGAACAGCTTTCGCCCAACTTGATATGGATGTTTTCCCCCTATCATTAATTCCTTTCGATAATAGTGGTGTCCGGACCACCTTGCATGCGCCTCAACTAAATTCATTGGCTTGGTACAAAATACTCTATGTTCTCTATTATATCTAATTCTAAATAAAAAGAAAACAATAGTAAAATATTTATAATTTGTTAAATTAAAGAAAGAAAGAATGAAGAAAAAGAAATAGCAAAAGTCAGGAGTGGTGGACAGAAGCGAGAAGAAAATGATGATAGGTTATGAAGAGGAAGAAAGAGGTAAAAGTGTAAATATAAAAATTCTTAACGGATTAACGGTTTATCCGATAAAGAAATTGAGTAATCCGCCTCCAAACCGTTAAGCCGTTAATTATAAATTTTCAATCTGTTCACCAACCATTACTCCGATAATCCGATACCAATAAGCCAATAAGTCAGTATTGCGGTTCGGTTAACGGTTACAGTTCGGTTTTGAACATCCCTACCACCGACAGCCTTGAAAAAAAAAATTCTTTCTCTTCTCCCGGTTCGTTGGAACCACTTTGGTCTTATCCTTAGGGAACAAATAGGCGTGCGCTTACTGATGTGATGATAATTCAAAAGCTTTTTTTTTTGCAAAAAAGAAGGGCCCTGTTCCTAGATCCCTTCCGCTCCTCTCATTTTGAGTCAGGATTTAAGAATGAGAGTCATCCTCGCTGCTCCACGTAGTCTCTATCAATGATCCTTACAAGCTAGAGTAGATTAAAGTTTCACTTATGTAGTGTCTCGTAATGTCATAATTAGTGTTTCCAACTTTGAAGAGAGATCAAAACATTGAGAAATCAAGCTTCCTTGTTTTGGCTTCCACTGGACTGATGAAGAATATCAGTCAATTGTATTGCGTTATTTGTGGATGGTAAGTGAATGTGTATTTTGTTGTAGTAATGGGTGCTAAGAGTGTGACAAGCTAATGGGTGGAACCTAAACTCAAAGGTGGATGTCCAGCTGTTTTATCTACTTGAGTTGAGTAAACTAGAAATGAATTAACAAATATGAAGCAAAATGCAACAATCGTTAAGAAAAGAGAAATAAGTAATTTTGGCGAATGAATTGTTTGATTATTCCCTCAAGTATTTTAGTTTCTAAACTATGTTTATAATTAATCTAAAGAAGGTAAGTATAAGATTCCTAATAAATATAGGGGTTTAACCATTTCCATATCTTCAAGGGGATAGGTTCTAGCAATATATACGATCCCATAGTATACGCATTCTTACCATTCCCTTTTAAGTTGTAGTGTACTTCTTGTATTCTTTTAATTTACCGCAAGTATACAATATTATGGAGTCACAAAGTGATGTTGTACGAATATACAACAACAACAACAAACCCAGTATAATCCCACATGTGGGGTCTGGGGAGGGTATTGTGTACGCAGGCCTTACCCATGTTGTAAGAATATATTCTAATTAATTATTCGATTTGAACAAACTTGTTGTACACCTAGATTCAATCTTTTGTCAAATAAAATGGCATTCTTATTTTTAGATGCTTTGTTCTTTCATGAAATTTTGGATTTGAATTTCTTAGAATAGAAACTCAAATTTTTGATTCTGATACCAGAAAAGAGAAAGAAGAGATGTTAGGATGAAGCGTTTGATTGTTCCCTCAAACATGTTTGAGTTTCGATAGTGTTTGCAAGTAATCTAAAAAGGGTAAATATAGGATTCCTACTCCTAATTACATGGATACCTGGGTTCTAAACCTTTCTATATTTTTAAGGTATAGATTCTTCCCATATTGCTTCTTCTATGGCTTCTACGTTACCGTGTTTTTTTTTCATTATTTTGGTACTTGTGCTTTATTTGAGCCGAGGGTCTATTGAAACAACCTCTCTATCCCATAGAGGATAAAGTCTGCGCACACACTACCCTCCCCAGACCCTACTTTGTGGGATTACACTGGGTATGTTGTTGTAGATTCTTCCCATCTTTATGATTCCCTAATGTTAACATCCTTAACTGGAATAATTAAAGAGGGTTATCTCTACTCACCAATATTGGCTTTAAAAAAGCAATAAATAATATAAAAAACGATAAAGGGAGAAGAGAGAAAATGAAAAGAATAGAGAGAGTTTAGGAGAATGAGACAGAATGATCTTTTCATGATGTATGTTCATTTGGTGTTATTCCAACCTTTCAAAATAAGTATAGGAGGATTTTATTGATACAATAATGGGTTCTGAACAAGTTATAACTCTTGAAAGTCTGTCGAAAAAAACTCTCAAATCAAAGAAAAGTTATAGCTCTTGAAATCTATGGAATTCTATCTCTAACTGGAAAAATTAGACTAGATAAAACCTTACATCCTGCTAAAACATAAGTTTATCTCCATTTTATTTCAACCTAAAAGAGACGTACTGTATAATAAAAAAATTAAAGAAAATAATATTGCAATCTTTGTTGAACAACATCACTAGTTTAATTGTTCAAACTTCAAAGTTGAATAGTCTGTTGGTTTATCCGTAATCTGAAAGGTTTATATTTTTGTTTTGTATTAATGGTTTTTAGCCGTCAGTTTGAACTAGTACTAGCTTGACTTTGATTTGGACAAGTATTTATGGACAGGGTAATTCCATTTTGGTGAACACCACTGTCTGCAAGTTATATGCTCAAAGCATATCAAAAATATTTTATTTGGTTTGTCTAAATAACGTGCACTTCTGATGTTATCTGCAGCGAAAGATTTTCGCATCGTTCAGAAGGAGGTAGCTGAACTAATAAAGGGACGGATTCTTGTCGGCCATGCTCTGAGAAATGATTTTAAGGTAACTGTGCACCTTCTGAGACTTTGCGTCTGGAGTACTTTCTATAACTTTTTGAGAATTTTTTCCTGTACAGGCCTTGTTATTAAACCATCCAAAGCAAGATATTCGTGATACTTCTGAGTTTCAACATTTTCTGAGGTAATTTTCACCCCGCCCCTGCCTCCCCACCAAAAAGAAATGCTTGGTTCCTTGCGGCTTTCAGCTATTAGCCTGTATTTTAGCTGCAATATGGTTCTGACATTGGATTGATAAAGTAGGGAAGGACGCAGTCGCGCGCTTCGGCACCTTGCCACTGAAGTCCTTGGAGTGGAGATTCAAAACGGAGAGCACTGCCCAGTTAGTTCTATGCTTTTAATGACTTTTTTATGCTCTTATACTTTATTTTCTTGTAGTTTTTCATCCTAACAAATGGAATCCTTACTGTATGTGCTTTAATGTACTGTAGTGTTTGAATCTGGTTTTACAGAATGAGTATCAAAATTTGAATTTTATAGCAGCTTGTCAGTTTATTATCCTAGGTCCATATCCGAATGATGTCTAACTTGTATCCATAATGTTGTGCAGATAGAAGATGCCCGTGCTGCTATGATGCTTTACCTAAAGCGCAGGAAGGAATGGGAAAAGAGCGCCAAGGACTTTGTAAGACTCAAGGAGAAACAGAAAAAGCGCAAACCAAAGAAAAAAACAGGCGTATTGAGAAGACCTGCATCTGAATAATGCTGAAAATTCTTCCTAATGAGATGATCACTCAAATTTATCTATTTGCTCGTTACATGCGTCAAATTACTGACTAGGGGGGAGCGAGAGACCTGACTAAAACATGGTAGAGGAATGTTGAAGGATGGGAGGTGCCCTCTCTCACTATTGTGGTCTGCCAAATTTTGTGCTCGCTGGACCTTATTTTAGTTTAAAGAATCACGATATGGATCCACCCAAGACTGGTTCTTCTAATGAAAGAAGGAAAATCGTCTCTTCTTTCGTGCTTTTTCACCGATGAACTGCCAGTCTTTTGTGCTAGATTCATATAGCCTAAGCTTCCATGTTAGCGCTTTGCTTACCTCTTGTAGAATTGAGCAGTCGTTTCATATGTACTATCTTTTCGTTTTGGAAAAGAACGGGACTTCATCAGAACTAAAAATTGGAAACCAGGGCAATTACGAAAAGAGTTGCTAGAATTCTAGTTTATACCAAGTCAAATTAGAACAATCTTTTTGAAATGACGGGAGTAATAAATATAGAAAGAGGCATTCTTTTTGAAACAAACCAGGGGTGTTTGTGAAAAACCAAATCAAACCTGTAAAAAACCCGATCAAATTTAATTTGGTTATGGTTTTAAGCAATAAATAACCGGAAAAATCGACTATAGAAATACTTATTTAAAACTTATTACAACACAAATACCTGCACGTGCGTCCGCGCGCACACTCATATTAATTATTTTTTAGTTGGTTCTCTAATTATTAGCCTTTATATTAATCCAGTTCTTTGTCTTTAAATTCTTGTTTGATTGGTAATTTTATTTTGCTAAGTACGGGAATCTATTTCATGTTAAAAATAACTTATCTTTAATTGAGTACTCAAATTATCCATCACTATTTAATTTAATTATCATCAATATATCCTATCTTTGGTTTGTGATGTTATTTAGAATATAGCCGTTGAGCACGCCCAACTACGCTTACTAAAAGGACTAGCGGTCGTTATAAATATAATCCGATTTAACAGTTCGGAGTTGAATCCCACAGGGAATTAGCCTATTAACTACAACTATATGTCTTGTAAGAGTTCAACCAATTCATTTTCAGAAGTTGTAAATATCACTTTTTTGATGTTTTGATAACTAAGGCAAGTAGTAAAAATGCAGTAAAAATATCACAATTAAAACAAAGTGTTATAAACAAGATTGATAAAGCCTAGAGCTATGATTTTTTCAATTGTCGGAATCCTCCCCGCTATGTTTTCTATATTTTCGTCTAATTGTTCTCTATGGATTGCGAGTAGGGTTGTGCATAATATGATAAATACCGAATTATCGTATCAAAATTAAAAATTTTGGTATATGGTATTCGGTATTTTGGTATTTGGTATGGTATTTAGTTTAGGTTTTTAAAATAATTTGGTATTAAGTATGCTTTTTTGATATTTAAAAAAATAATACTAAATACCGATATCTTACCAAAATATATACTAAGTTACAAATTACATATATTATTAATTAAAATTCTAAGTTACACAATACTTTTCTTTGACATTCATCTTGAGGTTGGCAGTAAAGCCCATGCACTTCTTTAGAAAAATGGAGGAACAAGGTAGGATGTAGATTCTAATTCTTGCTCTCTAGGTTGTCAAGCAGTTTAGCATAATATTTCAATGGTTTTGGGGTGTTTCGTACTCCGTTACTCTTGTATTGTCATTGCATATGTTGGATTAGTCCTTGTTGTATTCTCTAATTTCAGTAATTAACTTTAAGCAAGTAACATGATATTTCCAATGATTAAATGTATTCCTTTATGTACCTTTTTTCTCTTAGTTGATACTTGATGATTTTGGACAAAGATTTTGTCAACAGTCAGGTGAGTTTAGAATGTTTACATTGAGTACTTTAATTAAAAATATTACAGTTTATGGCTCTATGTACTAGTTAATATTCAAGCCAAATAAACCGAAATTACCAAACCGAATAAACCAAAATCGGAAGGAGAAAAGCCGAACCATACCGAATGTAATTGGGTATGATATTGGTATAGCATTTTAAGAAATCGAATACCAAACCGAAATGACTAAATACCATACCGTACCGACCGGTGAACACTCCTAATTGTGAGCTCTTTGGTTATCCAAAATTCTCTTCGAAGCAAACCCGATAATATCTTACAGTATTCTTCCGAACTACCTAAGCTAACCTATTTTATTGCTCACGTCAATCACATCAAGGTTTTTTCCTAAACCCATCTTTAAATTCTCAGTATTAATTACTCACATATGTTAGGAGTGACATTGTTCAATAATTTTTTAATTATGTACTCTTTCCCAAGCAATACATAACAAATAGGCACAACTAATTGATGGACATTCAACCAACTAGAATATGCATTTAGTTGAACACAAAGAAAATCAAAGGCAACATTATATTCAAATATAACGGGAGTTCATCCTTGAAAAAGTTTAATCAACCTCTACAAAACTTGAAGAATTGAAAGAAGAATTCATGTGATCCGTTGCTTGCAATTGTTCTAGCCGTATTTCACTCTTCAAAACTTGTTTAACATTTAGAAAAACTAAGTTGCGAAGGTATTTATGTTCTAGGTTACAATTAGGGCCAAAATAACTAATTCCTAAGCTGACTAGGAGCCAAAACACCTCAGACCGTGGGCTTGGCGCGTCTCACCCATCTTTCTTCGCCCTGGAGCTCGCCTTGCACCGTGGGGCACGTCAAGTTTGGCGCTATAGGTCTCAAAAGGCGCCTTCTAAGGCGCCAACCAGAGCTCGCCTAGTGCCCTTTGGGGCGGGTGGTACTTTCGTAGACTTGTGTCGTGGTTCCTCTCGTACTCTACTTTGTTGTCTTTGATGTCTCTTTGTCTAATTTTCTTTCCTCTCATTCCCATATAAGTCTACACACAAAAATAACCCAATTAAATGCAAATATAGCACAAATCATTAATATTTACAAGTAAAGTATAGGGTAAATGATGATCTCAAATGTAACATATTAGCCTTGCATCAACAAATCATACTTAAACGTTACTCGTCCTCGATTCACCCAAAAATACGACACCTCACGACATTGCACTTTCTAAGCAACTATACCCCTGACCATGATTAATAACAACAATTAAGCTTTATTATATGCATCCAATAAACACTTCCCATAACTCATGCCAACTTTCAAAAATTTCAAGAACAACATGCCCATAACAATCATAGCCTCAAAAACTAACTCAATATCACAAAGCACTCAAGGCTTGAATACTCAACCTAATAGAGAAGTCTAATAATGTTACCTATTCACTGCGATACCATGTTCCCTCATAATAAAATCACAGAGAATAAGCAGTCTACACATCCAAATAAAACGATCAAAGATATTTTAAGGACTTACATATATGAGAAATCACTCACTCTCTGAAAGAAGTCATATGTAGGCAAAAGGTACCATAGGCTTGCCTATTATGTAAATCTCTACTCATGTAAGCCCGCTCGGTCTAAAATCAACTAGGATTTTATTATGGTTGTAATGTGAGCTAAGGGACGGGCATAATAAATATATGTAATAGTGGCTAAGCCTGCTAAGTACTTTAACACGTCACCTAGTCAATTTTAAGCACAACCCACTTCAAACATCACAATTAAGATCACCCCAAGATATGTTCCCTCTTTCTTTAAGCACCACTATAACTCACGCTCACTAGCAAGGGCACAATATATTTATTTATTTTGCAACATATCTTTTTTCAACATTTTTTTCTACCTTTCCTTTTTTTTTTCTTTTGCCCTCCCCGCTAGCGGTATTTTCTTAATGATACAAGTGCACCTTTCTTTCTTTTTTTAGTTCCACTCAACCCTAAGTTCTTTCCTTCCTTCTGTCTAGCGCTTCTTTTAGAATTCAAGTACTTTAAGAGGTAAAATGTTCCAATTCAATTAAGAATAAAAAGGTATGGACTTATAGTACATGTGCCAAATAAAAGGTTTATAGGCTCAAAAGGGTTAACTAGGAATGATTTTATTTGTGCTAAGAAACAAAGTTTAAAAAGATCAAAGTAAGTCTAATATCATTTTTCAAATTAAGCAACACCTAGGATTTCGCTTCAATTCACATTCCGGGAAAGTTCTAGATTCAAATATAATACATGGACTATACTAAGAAGTCACTTCATACATTGGCATATGAATCACTAAGCACGGTCACATTCCAATTTTCAAATCAAAAGAGTACTCACAAAACCAAGAGATATATCAACCATTAAGCATAACGCAAACACGAGCCACACAAACAATCCATATGAGTCATAATACATGCTATCCATTATTATCAAGGCAACATCATATATTTAAAATAAGGGGAAGGTGAAACACATGCCAAAACTTAAGTGTGCTACCATCGAACAAGTCAAAAGGCACTTAAGACTCATGTTCTTCTTCCTTTTTTTTTTATTTCCTAAATACTACTCTAAAATAACTACCCGCTTCAAGTTACATCCCATGAAATAGAATCGAGGTACAAAGAAAAACTAGGAGGATTATTACTATTTAAAGAAAACAAAAAGACATGTTTTTGTATTAATTTATTTTCTAATATTTATTGTATTTTTATTTAGACTTTAATCCCTTAAGAAAACTGTCTATGAGATACGTCGTCGCAAAAAGTCCAGTCTTTTTTTAATATTTTTGATTTTTTCTTCAAATTAAGCTCCTGCTAAATACTATACTAGTGGTTTTACTTCTCTAAATGAGCAACCTAAAACAATAAACAAGAAGCTAACTATAAAGTAAACAAGAAGCTAACATTGTTACTAATATAATCCTACTACAATTCAAAGAGAGTCTCCCACCCTATAGTTAAAAGATGCATTGTCCACAATACATAATCAAAACAAAATTAGCAAGCGTGGACAAGAAACTCCCTGGTCAATCATCAAAGTCGTCGCCCTCATTGAAGAAGGCTCTGTCTACCTCCTCCAAGTCATCAAACTTGTCATGACCCCAATTTTTCTCCGTGGGATATCGTGACGGCACCTAGTCTCTAAGACTAGGTAAGCCTAAATAATACGCGGAAACATTAAATAAGAGATAAAACTTGAACATCCCAACAATTTCATAAAAGGAATCTACCAAAATATAATACGTAAAATCCTAAAACCTGGTGAGATATAAGTCACAAGCTTTAAGTACAGTACCGAATAATCCAATACATCACTGTCTATCAAAATATAAAGAAATAAGAAAAGAACGGAATAGAAGGGGACTCCGAGGCATGCGGACGCGGGCAGGTATACCTTGAAGTCTCCAAAGCAGCAACACAACGCACTAATATCGAGGCAAGTAAGATGCACCTGGATCTGCATAAACACATGTGTAGAAGTGTAGTATGAGTATACCAAAACGGTACCCAGTAAGTGCCAAGCCTAACCTCAGTAGAGTAGTGACGAGGTCAGGTTAGAGCCCT